CCATTCCCCAAAGCAGGGCAGAGAGCCATTCAGATACCCCAGGGCAGTGGCAGTCTCTGGAATAGAGGCACAAACGCATGTGAGTTCTCGCGGGCACAGGCTCAGGCACACACTCGTGTTCACTCACACCCTGCCTTGGGCGGCGTCAGAGGCTCCTTCCTCCAGGCAAACATCTTGAAGACGTGCTAGTGTCCCTGCTGCCTCTAAGTGGGGAAGGCCCAGGGGAGGGGAGGCTATCTTCAGAATTTCATTTTCTCCATCAAGGTCATCACCAAGGCTGAAAGGTAACTAACTCCCTGAGCCCAGAAGTCCCCATCAAGACCACCCAGTATCCCCTGGTCCTGGGTAGGAGACTGCACCCTAAACCATCCATGCTACTCGGGTTGGGGTGTCCAGAGTTGACCCCCAAAAGCCCTGACTGAACAGCAAATGGCCAAAGGGTAACTGTCCCTTGTTAGACATGCTGTGTCCAGACCCTTCCCTGTCCCTCTGCCAGTCCACACTTTCTCCCCAGTAGGGTCCTATGTGACTTTGGTAGGCCATGCACACTCTCTGAGCGCTCTCTCCTCTCTGTCTTGAATCCCCACACCTCATTCCCCCCCCCAATCTCCCCCTTGCCTTTTTTGCCTGTGACCCTCCCTTTCTCACCCTCCCATCTCTGACCCTTTGCTTCCTAGCACCTGCCCCTCCCTCACCCACAAAATTTTAATTTCAGTGACAGGGGACTTGCTTCTCCATAACAAAAATCATAGCCCTAAATACAGTATCCTTGGAGCCACAAAGAGCGGACCTCAGTGGCCCTAAAATACACTAGGTATGATTTTAATTAAAAAAAATTAAAAATATATACCCTGGTGCCCTGCTGTGAAAATTAAAACCATCTGGAATGCAGGATTTCCAATAATTAATCTAGCCCTCCTTTGACACCACTACTAATTAAAATATGATACCCCACCTTTCCACGGAAAAAAAGAAGAATTTACATAAAATTTAAAGATCTAACAAGAATTTAGTAATTCTAGAAACAAGGGGGAGGGCACATGCTTCTCTCCGCCCTCCCCCATCCCTAGTAAACACTGAGTCCAGAACATTCACCGACACTGACATAGGGGTTACAGGCCCTCCATCCCCCCTGTTCCCCTTAATTCAAACACCCTATAACTCTCCCGGTAGCTCAGTCCCTGGAACCCAGGCCAAACATCCCAGCAGCTCTGGGACTTGCTCTCTGCCTCAGGCCCCCTCGGGATGGGGCTGTGGGGTCAGGAGGGGCTGGGATCCCAGGAGCTTCTGGAGGAGGCAGCATGTTTTAGGAAAGGTGAGAGCTTTGGAGCACACAGATCTGGGTCTGAATCCCTGGCCCAACTGTATGGCCTTGGGCCTCAGTTTCCTCACCTGTAAAATGGGGAAAATTGCCCATGATCTTCAATAGTTACAATGAGGACTACACAGAATGATGCTGGAAAGAGCCTAGTGCCTGTACTCAGGGGCAAGGCAGGGGAAACACGGTACCTGTTGTTCAGGTTTCCCAATAACTGCAAAACAAAACTGTTTTCCCAAAAGAAAAAATATACAAAGCGGAAAAAGTCAGATGTGTGCACAAAAGGGCGGAGGTGGAGGACAACTTGCCTCCGAGGCAGAGGTGCCCTCCGACCTGAGCTTCCTCGGCACCCTCAGAAAAGGCCTTGAGCTGGGACTTACGGGGTCTGATTCCATTTCTGGGTTGCCATCCTGGGCTGCATAAATTCACACCTCCCTGTGAGCCTGTTTCCTTCCCTGTGCAAGGCGGGGGCTCGAGCCTATTCTGATTCTCTGAGATTGGGGACAGGATCTAGGGCAGGGGTAGGGACAGGACACTAAGAAGGCGAGGAGGCCACAGGGCTGGGGACCAGGTAACCCTGAGTGACTCTCGGGGAGACAGCGCCTACTACTGCCTGATCTAGCTCCCACGTGAGCCCACTGAAGTCACACATCCCCACAAGCTTGAGTATCTCTGTCCCCATTTTACAGTGTAGGAAACCGAGGATCACAGAAGTAAGCCAGCAGGGAGGGGGTGACATCAGGTCTGCTGCCTCTTCCTGCTGGGGCCTGAGCTCCAGGGGAGGACCCCCAGCTCCGGGAGACAAGACGTAGCTCAAAGCACAACCCTCCCCCACTCACCAGCCACAGCCACCACAGGAAGCCCTGGCCTTTGCCCGGGCATCCAGAGGGCCTGGGGCTGGGGCTGGACTACACCTCCACCCCCGCAAGCCTAGCCACCCCCACCCCAGGGAGGGAAGGGTCTGTGCTGGCCGCTGTGCCAGGGGAGCCCGCAGTCTGCTCTCCCCCAACCGCAGCAAGCCATGGAGTGACCCAGACTCCACTCAGCGCATGACATAATGGGGGAGCTGGGCCAGAATTATGTAAAGTCTTTGGGGAGTAATAGCAGCAGCAGTTCTCAGAAAGAGAGAGAGAGGCAAAGAGAGAGGGAGAAAGAGAGAGACCCCACCCACCCAGGACAAGTTTTCCCCAGAGCCTGCCTGGTCTTCAGCCTCACACTGCCCCCTCCCTCCGTGATCCAAGCCCCAAGCCCCCAAGATACAGCTAAGCCCAGATGCCTCCTCTCTCAGTTGTGTTCTCAGGTCTGTGCCAGGCCAGGCGGGAGGAGGTGATGACATTATCTCACTCCGCTCCTCATCAGGCCTCCTCACCACCCTGGCAGCCCCTCCAGTCTTCACAATTCAACAGCCTCCTCCCTCTGCCATTCCTGCCCCTCACCAGTCTCCCCTCTACGCATCAGCCAGAGAAATCCTTGCTGAAAGCCTCCCAGGGAATCTCCGACACACTGACAATCCAGCCTCTTCTTACAGGGACCCACAAGGGGCACGTGACCTGGTGCCTGCCTACCATCCCCATCTCCTAACCCGCCCACAGGCCTCCAGCCAACCAGCCTCCTTGCTGTTCCTCTAACACACCCAGCACACTCGTGCCTCAGTGCCTTTGCACTTGCTGTTCCCTCTCACTGGAGATCGCTTTGCTCAGTGCTTACCCTAATCTCATCTCTTAGGTTGCCACTCAAATGTCACCTCCTCAGAGAAGCCCTCCTTAGCCATGTTGTCCAATGTCATACTTGCCTCCCACATTCAGCACTACCCAAGCCTGCTCCACTGTCCTCAGCTCTTTTCCAAATTGTCGTATTTGCCACCTTTTTTATTGTCTTTCTCTCTTCACCGGAAGGTAAGCCCCATGAGGGCAGGGTCTGACCTGCCTTACTCACCACGGTGATCTCCAGCACTAGCCCATCCCTTGCTCACGGTAAATGACCAATCAGTAAATTTTACTAAATGCATAAATGACCTTGTGAGGAAGGTATGAGTAACATGAAGAAAACAAGATTCAGGGATGTGAAGAGACTTGCCCAAAGACACATAGCTGGTCAAAGCAGAGCAGAGGTTTGACCCCAGTCTCTGATTCCACAGTCACTGCCCTTAGTCACTCTGCTCCCCCCACCCCCACCCCAGTGGTGTCACTCCT